CATCTCAAATTCAAGCGACAGCGAACACACAAGAGTAATGAAGCTTTCTTCAAATTGGAAGTGTCGCAGGTGAATAATATTCCCATGCTTTGTAGAGTATAAACCATTTACACAAATCTCATGTTAGTTCCATTTGTGAGCGTTTTTATGTTGTACATATATGCAGTACAAAAAGGCATGGCACAAAACTACACCACACATCATGCTAACCAATCGTTCACAAGTACCCGGCTGAGCACTCGGCTTAAAACTGGGCAAGTTTAGCGCACGATATATTGCTTGGTTGTTCTCTTCAATAGAGTGCTGCAGAGAATTTGAACACATAGGTGGAAAAAGACGTGCGGCGGAGCTGCCTCGTGACTCACTGACATGGTGGATGACTTCTAGTTATATACGCAAGGGGAAAATAGGTATCGGGAGATGGATAAAAGGAACTGAAAATGCCAAAACTCGCGATAGAGACGCCACTTGTATATGAGAAGGCACCCATAGTATTATTCACTTAACCACAAGGAGGTGTAGAACGGCGAATTTACATCCGTATAACACCTAATGGAAGAATCCCCCCGCGTTGCATAAATGTCTTTTTCGTTGCCTATTGTGGTTTCAATCATATCAATATAGGTGTCAATGAGGGGGGGGGGGTTCTTTTCGGGGTTTCACGTTACAGGTGAAAGAATATAGGCAAACAAGCAATTCGCCTTGCTATAACAATGTAGCATATGCTTTCCAGTAGATGACTCTTTAACAACTAATATCTTTTTAGCTTTTTATTTGACGCTTTTCTTATTTCTATTTAGTCGTTCGTTGTGCAGTTTCGTGTGCCGTTTTGCAGTCCAGCTCTCATTTCAAGCCAACACTGAAATTTCACAAATCGTCTATAGTGTTTGCAATGCCGACGTTGGTGCCTGACTAGAGGAGGTTCCATCGGTCGTTCTCTGGGCAAGAAACTTGCGGTTCTATATCGCATCCTAGCTTGAGATCAAGACAGCTAATGTCGGGGGCGTCACTGTCAAGGTAGCGACACGACTGTATTGGACAGAGTACCTAATTTCTCAATGGTCACAGACACAACATCCCCGTTTCTGAGAAACACAGGGGGTTTTCGCGACATCCCCACTCCTGCGGGCGTTCCAGTGAGAATGATTGTCCCTAGATATGGTTTTGAGAGAAGAGGCCAGGTGATATGAGTGACAGGTATGATTCTGCACAGATGTTAAGTCAATGAAGTATAGTATCATACTATCGACCATGCACACACGTCGCATGTATTATACACGAGTAACATTATATCACCATACAAGACCAAAACATACCTTCCATCAACCAAGTGTCTTTGCTGGCGTAGGCGATAATTTTCTCCACGGACTGTATCATTTGGTTGGTGTTCGAATCCTGAACCTTGATGCCGTTGAGTTCGGTGGATATTTTTAGATTGTTCGGGTTGCCCGCCAAAGCGGCGGCTGTCTACATAGGACGAAGGGTGAATATACGTTCAGGTGCTATGCATGGGAAGCGGGCTTATGAAAATATGTCTAGAAAAGACTATAAATGTGTAGATTTGGAGCACAAGTTTGTCGCCGTTTAAAAAATAAAGATTATTACTGAAAAGAAGATCTTGCACAAGGACAAAGTGAAATTCACTGATATCCGAGCAGGAAATACACAGAGGCAGCAAGCAAATGGGCAAGCAGTAGCAGGGGAAAACCGGTTTGAAACCAAGTGTAATTCTTCGACACATTATGTAGTCAGAAGTCAAGTAAAACAAAAGAGTACAGAATACAGGTTTTTCTGCAGGAAAATTCAGTATTGAATCATATCGACTAGCTCATGTTCTGTCCTGGTGTAATATTCATAACATCATCATAGGGAGTATACTCGTCATGAATTTGAAAAGTCCGACTGGGCATCTCGGGTGTCACCACAATAGATTTCCTGACAAAAAATCATAGAAGGATTCTAATGTTGGCCCGATGCCGGACAATTCAGATATACATTCTCTTAGATAGCATATACAACTGGTTTCGAAATAAAAATCCTTCCTCACCCATGACCGTCATAAAACACACACAGACATTGCTGAAGGTGCTATAGCTTTTCGCACTCCGACGTGATTAGATTTAACACACTCACACTCACTATCGTACGATATACCCCGTTGATTCCCAAAACATCAATCCGGCAATCCTACTAAAAGCATTCTACATGAATTTCATGTAAAAATCAAAGTTCACTGAAGGGTGAGAATCGCCCTGCTATACATTGGATAGGAAACGAAACGATAACTGCACAAGTCTGGAATCATCACATGACTCTATCGCACCCGTCCACAAACTTTCATTGTGATGTGTACATATTCTGGTGTTGATAGTATAGGAAGTTTAACTACATATATCTCGAAGAAGCGCACAAAAGACACCCATCGCGATGCTTGAAGTTATCATACGAAACGGATTGTGAACCTGTATAGTGTACAGTGGAAGCTACGTAGATAGGAACACCGGACGGGGAAACAATCACTACCTCCCTCGGGCAATGTTTATCGAAACACACGACATACTATGTAGGGTCCAATTGGACCAAATGTAGCGAAGCTTTTGGCACGGTACCATTGGCCACCACCCTAGATAATTCAAATGTAGAGATGTTGTGTATTGTTAATCAGTGAAACAGAAAAAGTGCGCGAATCGATGTTTAAGCGAGACCGATACGCAGTGATTCAACAAATCTTGTGATGTTAGTAAGAGACAGCAGTGACTGCCATTCAACAAAACACACTGAAACGGACAAGTCTAGACTAGATAAAGACTTGATTGATGAGCCGGAAGGCGAAGCAAACTTTATATATATATATATGTATATATATATATATATA